CAGCGGCTGCCCCTGAGGTGTCTCTGGGGCACGCGGGGCTGTTTTTAGCCGCGGCGGGGCCGGTCGGCTGTTGCGGGCGCCTTAGGGCCGGGCCGGCCTCGCCGCCCCGGCGCGTCCCTCGCTGCGTCCGTGGGGCAGATCTGCTGCTGTTCACGGAGAGCTCCTGTCTACCGCGGCCCTTGGTGCCCTTGCTTGATGTGCAAGCGATGCAGTAAAATAGGTTATTGTAAAGCCCTGTGGAGCAGCGTCTCTTCTTGTGCTCCTTCCTGGCTGGTTAGTCGTGTTTTTTTGGGGGGGGGGGGGTTGTCATTATTTATCAAAATTTACAGCCTGATAAGCTGTGCAGATGTGTTCTGGGGGTGAAGTTAGCCCCTTTGGAGAGTTTGGCCCCACGAAACAGTGGGGCAGCAAAACATCTTATTTACTCTGGAGAGGTTGTGATATCTTCTGTTGGTGTCTGTGGGCCAGTGTCACTCCCAATGTTGTGGGGTAGGGTAGGGCTTGTGTTGTGTGACTGCCCCAGAGCCTTCTCTAAAGGGTCGCTGAATTGTGTGGTCCTAGGCTTAAGGCATCTCATCTACCCTGTAATCCTGTGCCCACCATCGGGGGTTGTGTGCTCAGAGCAGGGCTGTTTGTGGAAGGAGTTGTCCCTTGACCCAGCACGAGCTGAAATGTCACCTCTCGGGTGAAATCTAGGTCTCAGCAGCCTCTTGCAACCTACTGAATCACACGGTGCTGTGCTGTAAATCACCTATGAGTCATCAGCTGGCATCTATATGCCTGTAAATAAGTGCACATGCAGCTTGCCCTCTCCTGCCGGTGGGGGATTAGCAGGGTATCTGGGGCTGGTGAGCGTGTTGGAGTTAATTCTGCCTTACCTACACGGCTCCCGGTGCCTGTAGGTGCTGCACAGAGCTCGGCTTGTGCGTGTGGGAACTGTGGGCTGTGCTGCTGGAGCTGTAACCAGGAGTCTTCTACAAAAATAGAGCTGCAGAGTGCTCTGTAACGCAGGTCTGCAAAGGGGGTGGCTGGTTTGTGATGTGCTGCAGTTCAGAAATAGGCTGGGCAGTGGCAACCTTTTCTTCCTGATGCTGTTTGTGTTGAAGAAAAAGTCCAAACAGTTGCTGCCCCCCCGCCTCAGGAATGTGCCCTTAAGGAGTGTTGCTGAAGACCTGGCCCACTGCCACCTTCACTGAGAAGCTTTTGTGGTATTCCTCCTTCTCCAGATGCAAATGCTTCCTTAGGCACCCTAGTTCTGGCATTAAGAGAAATATGGTGTGTCCAGAGCCATAAATCTTTCTCAGGCAATAAATAACATGCATTATGTGAAGCTTGGTCACCCTGCAAAAGAAAAAGGCTCCCTAGATTTAACTCCCTAGTATTGTGTAGTTAAGGGCTGGGACTCTGTTACAGCATAGATGATCTCTGACCAGTTCCCTCCTGTGAAAACCCAACTCTTCCTGCAGAGCTACATCTTTCCAGCTCTGCTCAGTGAGGTTTGGGTGGGCTGGATCCAGGCTGAGAGATGAAACAAGAACATATGTGACAGAAGCGACTTAGAGTGAATGAGACCCTGCTGTGAACTGCACAAATGAGATCTCGCTGTGCAGGCAGGTTTTGGTAGCAGCTCTTTATCTCTTGTTCTCTTTTATGCAAGCTTGAAAAATCCAGTTTAGCATCCAAAGCATCTGTTTTGTAAATAAGTAGAAGAATGTCTGCATGGGCTGTGCCTGAGCTCAGACTATTGAGCTTGGCATGGGTTTTTACATCCTATTTCCTATTAAAAAGTGAGGAGATGACACAGCACTCTTGGATCAAGAGCCTCAAACTGCCAGGTTTTGATGCCCAACTGTTTGACCTGTCAAGATGCCTTGGAGAAGTATGTGGAAATTTGGCAGTACCTAAACAAGAACCAATCTGCCTCCCATACTGGATTTCATCCACTGCTGTTAGGAAGGTTTCGCATTACGGAGTCATTCAGAAGGAAGTCAGCAGATGAGTGTGCTGTTGACATGTAAGATATAAAGCAGGTTTGTCCCATGCTCTTATGATTCTGCCTTGTCATTGGGACTGTTAATTAACCTGGACAACTAATCTGACTTTGTGCAACTTTGTTAAAATGTAAACTTGAACCACTCAACATATCTTTCATAGTGCTGTATTCTGACTTGCACTGGTTCTAGCTATGGGTGAGGTGATGCCACTCAGTGGTGGGAGAAGAGCCTTGTCCTGCAGGTTTCTTTCCTCTGCAGGAATCTGTGCTGAACAACTGTTCAGGAAGGTGTGACTGCATGGTGCACATGTTATTTTTGAGACTGCACACCACAAACTCTAGCCCTGTAGAAAGGAAGCAGCCTGGCCACATACGGTTGTTGCATAGGAGACTGCTCATCTGCACAGTTCTCACAGGAAGCTCTCAGCACCTTGAAGCAGCATGTGTGGGACCTGCCTGAGCTCCAGGCATATCACAAGGTCAGTGCTGCTGTGGCAGCTGCTGAGGACACCAAGAGACACTTGAGATGTTTCTTCTAGCTTTGATAAGCAGGTAGCCATCTCCCCTTCCTTTGCAGCTGTTGAAGCAGCAGAGACTTGTTCTCCTGCATGTACTGTGTGTCTTGTCTCCAGCACCTGAGGTGTCCCTGCTGCTCTCTGCAGTCTGCCAGGGACTCTGTCACTTAAAGCTTGGGAGCTCCTGGAAGGTCCTGCCTTCACCTTTGCTGCCCACAGGCATGTGAGCAGCAGCAGTGGGGCTGCCCAGAGCTTCTCAGTTTCATATTGCTGCTTGGATCTGCTGATTTGGAGGTCTGCAGAAAATGATCTTAATACACAGCTTCTTTGTAAATAGTCTTACATTCCTTTCAAATAAAAATGGAGCTTATAGCTCATTCGCATAATACAGTTAAAGCAGAGCTCCAGAAAATACAGCAGGCAAGCAGTCTTGGTCAAGAGATCCTAGGTTTTAGTGCAAGTGGTCACTCACATGTGGACCTGGGAAAGCCACCAACCAAATGTGATCCTCAGCTGAGCTTAAAAAGTTCAAAAAAGCTTAAAAAGGTAGTGATATAGAATATTTTAAGTAAGTAATCTGAATATGCATATGTCTTCAGCAGTGGGTAAATATGTCTTTGCATGGAAGTCTGCCTGGCTTGGAGGGACCTACCACCTACAGCAGGGAGAAATGATGTTGCCACAAACCATGTTAAAGGAAGGACTAGAATGCTCTTAAAAAGTGTGCTAAAGCTGACTTAACTGATAAGAATAGAAAATGCAGTTGTGTGTATAAAAACTGGTGCAGATACAGAGCGCTTGGAAGCTCATATAGCAACACTACTGGATGCTAAAACTTCATCCAGACCTTTTTAGAGCAGGGGACAACTTCAGTTTACGGTGAAAACCTGTTTTTTCTCCTTACAGGAAAGTGTTCAGTGGAGTTCAGAAATAAACAGAAACTTTGCTTTGTATCTTTTGCAGCTTTTGTAAAAAGGAAGATCACAACAAAGAGAATCTCTTCAACAGCCTGAACTATGATGTTGCTGCCAAGAAGAGAAAAAAAGATCTGCTGAATAACAAAGCCAAGATTCAGTGTAAGATGTCTGTGTTGTTTTTTAAGTTGCAGGAGGAGAATGGAAAACACTTCAGATCTATGGGTTTTTGCACAGCACTTGAAAACTCTTCCAGAGTATCTTCAAGGGCTTTGTGCCCATGTTTGACTGAAGTACAGAACTTGGATAGAGTTTAATGTGAAGATTTATGCCCCTGTTAGTAATTCCTGCTTTGAGGAGCTATGCTTGTGCTCAAACTTTTGTCATCTGTATTTGTCAGAGGAGGGTAATTTTTTCCTATGGTACATTCAAATGAACTGGTTCCAGTCTTTCCCTTGAAGACTTCCTGTGTTTAACAGACTAAACTAATTTGTGCTTCCATATGCATGTTGAGTACAAATCAATATTACTAGAGGCTACAAGCCTGAATATGAGCTTAGATCCCATCTCTGCAGAGTGCATGAAAAGGAAGGTTTGAGCCTGCTCAAAACAATGTCTGAAGTCTCTCTATACCCAGCAAGCAGCTGAGGTCCTGGTGGGTTCTCTCTGGGGTGACTTGTGGGAACCCCCAGGGACAACAAGGTCTGCAAGATAGATACCCATGTTAATGGAGATGAGGGCTACAAATGTAAACATACACAGAGGAAATGAGTTATGATTCCCACACCAGTATTAGCTCATTCTACATCCCCCAGGATTTCAGAAACTGGTGCCAGGATCTGGCCCCTCTGTGCATTTGGTTCCCTCAGTGGAAAAAACAAATGTTACCATGACAGTTCCTGGCTGGACTCTGACTTGACCTACTAGTTTAAAGGGCCCTGATGCAGGAGCTGTATGTCTGTAACTGGCTTCAGCCCCTGTGCTCCCTTACCATGCATATATTCATCATGCTGCATCTATAGCTGGAAAAATGACTACAGGAGCATAGTGCCTCCTCTAAGAAGAGTCTTGCAGGATGGGAAGGAATTGCATTTTCTTACTGGCTGTTGAATTGCTAGTGCAGAGTGAAGCATGTGAGAATAGGGTGGAAAAGAACTGAGCAAAATAAAAC